CCCATAAGACAAACCAAAGAGGAACACAGGCACGCAGGCCCAAACAGAATCAAAGGCACGCAGGCCCAATCAGAGTCAAAGGCACGCAAGCCCTGGTAGAATTACACCAAAAGTGGACAAATCAGACTAAAAGTCAATGCAAACATATGGCCAAAGACGCCCAAGAATTGTATAAACCATAACTTTAATTTTACAAACAAGAGTCGTAATATCAAGAGGCTTATGATCAAAACAAACCTCATTCTGAGACTTCCAAAGCATAAAGACGGTGCAGGCAAATGCAAGCTTCATCGCCCTCCTCCTGGGAAGGGCACCTCTCTTGTTTGACCGCAACCACCGGACAGCTCGTATGAGAGTGGTAAGGTGTGCCTCAATCTCCATCCAAGAACGAATCAGACCCCATACATGCTTAGTCACCGAGCAGCTGAAGAACAAATGGTTGATAGTTTCCAACTCGACTCCACAAAGGAAACATACTCTTGAGATTCCAATAGGATGCAAATTTGCGTCGGGGCTGTGGCAAATTCTATGATGGACATAAGATCTACCATGAACCTACATATGAATAAAATAAATATTTTTTTACTATCTAAATAAGTATATGTTTTTAAATAAAAAAATAAAAAACAATTTTTTATGTGAGAAAGTCCATAAAAATTGTATGCACCTAAGGTGCACCCACAAAGCACTTTATTTCCAAAGTAATGCCTTTCTATTGCATTTTGTTTGGTTATTCATTTCTTTTTATAATTTGTTTTGAGAATATAATGTGAGAATATTCTTTTGAGTTTGAGTTTAGTGTAATAATGGTTAGCGATTAATTATTGTTTGATTTGATATTTATTGTAATCTAGGTTTAAGTATTGTGAATCATAACATACTGCCAGAAACATGGACATAACACACTGTTAGAAAGTGTAAGCATAACATGACCATTCTACACTGCCAAAAAAGTTGGTATCCACTTCTAATTTTGTTTTTTGAATGTGTTTAAGGGAGTGACACGACGATTCTAAGTGCTACGTACAAGGAATGAGAATAACCTCTTAAAATTATGGATCTCAATACATATGGTAAATGAAATAATTAAAATACTTATTATTATAAAAGGGTATGATTAGAAGAGATCCACGTCATAAACAGTCAATTGTGTGAAAAATAATAAAGTGTGTTATATGTGTAATATTGAGTGTCTTAGAGTGCTACATAGGGTGATTTCAAAGAAAAAGGTAATGATAGTCATACCTACATACACTCCGTTAACTAAATTCAATTTACAAATTTTAAATTTAAAACTTTGGTATATGTTATATTATCTTTTCATTAAAAGAAATCTCTTTATTTGGATAGGAGTAAAAAGTACTACCTCCGTCCCTGAGTATTTGTCCACTTTCATTTTTACACAACATTCAATGCACTTCTTTAATCCATTTTATCTTGTAATTTGTATATTAAAAAATTATAGAAATTATATATTAATAATCTATATGTTAAGACAAATCAAACAAGATCATACATGACTATATTTATGCTTACATATTGAGAGAGTTTGACGAGTCAAAGTGCTTAGATGAACAGTTCCAAAAGTTAAAAGTGGACAAAAACTGGGGGACGGAGGGAGTATGAAAAATACCAAAATAAGAGTTCTAATTCATTTAAGACCAAAATAGAAATATAATGGCAGAGTGGTGTAAGAATACGCGTGGGAAGTGTGATGAAAAAGTGATGACAGTGTAACGTATGAGTGTGATCAGTCAATCATCGGTAATTCGCGATGACACTCTAGTCGCCGGAATGACAGTGTGTCCGTGATAATGTGACACTTACAATGTGACAATGTGCTAAGTGTGGTCGTGTAACAATGATAATGTAAACTCTTATTTTGGTTTTAAAAGACTTATGACTCCTATTTTGGTATTTTCATAGTTTTTTTACTTCCATCTAGAAAGTTCTCTCTTTCATTAATTAATATAACTTTCATTTTTTTTACATTTAGATACCATTAACTTTGTATAAGTCTTTCTATTTTCTAATTATTATACAATATGCATTTTACCATCTTATTTTAATAATAATGAATTAATTTAATTATAGAAAAATTAAAAAAAAGCCAAAGTTTAATAATTAAAATTTAAATTTATACTCCCTCCGTCCTAGAGTATTTGTCCACTTTCAATTTTACACACCATCCAATACACTTCTTTAATCCATTTTATCTTGTAATTTGTATACTAAAAAATTATAGAAATTATATATTAATAATCTATATATTAAGACAAATCAAACAAGATCACACATGACTATATTTAGGCTTACACATTGAGAGAATTTGATAAGTCAAAGTGCTTAAATGAACAATTCCAAAAGTAAGTCAAAAGTGGACAAATATAGCGGGACGGAGGTAGTATATTTTTTTGAAAAATAATAAAATAAAATAAATGGTGAATGTTTTTAAATTTTTTACCATAATACTATTTTTAAAATAATACATATGCGAGATATATTTAGTTAACGGGGTGAATTTAGTATTTTACCGGGTGCGACTACCACTACCCAACAAAAGGAAAAGCACAACCCCAAAGTCTCTCAAATCCGGCCTTGCGGTCACCATCTTTTCCAAAAAAAAAAAAAAGAGGAATTTGTCTCTATGAATATGCCTTCCTTGGAAGAGTAAAGTGAGATCAATTGAACATAGAAACTCATACACAAAATTTGTGATGGCAAATTTTATTGTAAATCTAAGGTCCACCATGAACCTACATATGAATAAAATAAATATTTTCTTATTATTTAAATAAATATATATTTTTTTAATAAAAAAATTAAAAAAACATTTTTTATGCGAGAAGATCCACACAAAAAAGGTATGCATTCAAAGTGCACTATAAAAGCACTCATTGTGACTCACTGTTTTTGTTATTTTTTGTGCTTTAGAATCATTCAAACATCGATCACAAAATTTTATTTTATGTGTCACTTTTTTATATTTCAAAGAATAGTGTGACGAAAGAAATATTACCACTCCCAAAAAAATGTTTTAACCCACATGCCACATAGGGACGTAAATGAATCGAATATTTTCTGTTCGATTCGTGATTCGTATTCGTTTAAGGTGATTCGTATTCGATTTTTTCGAATTCGAATACGAATACGAATCTGAATAAATATTCGAATCCTTATCGAATACGAATATGAATCAAGGGTATTCGATTCGTGAGTTTGACAAATATATTCGGAATATAAATCTAATTATACAAATTATACAAATTATATATATATATATATATATATATATATCAAATGGTTATAAAATATTTTAAAATCTAAATGAACTGAATAATTTTAAACGAACCGAATATATTTAAACGAATCGAATATTTAAATGAACCGAATATGTTTAATATATTAAACGAACCGAATACGAATCTTAAAAAATATTCGAACCGAATTCGAATTCGAATTCGAATATCACTCCATCTTAACGAATATGAATATTTTTCATGAATATTCGATTCGGTTCGTTTACAACCCTAATGCCACATCATGGGAGGAATAACTCGTTCAAAAGAGAATTTTTACTTTTTACAAATTAAGTTATACAGTAAATACTTTTGACAAATTGTTGGTTGACCTTGACTTTGGGCGTGGGTTTTCCATTATATGTAGGTTTGTTTTACGTTTACCCCCTCCGTAATTTAAAGTCCTTTGTTCTTGAGAAGAACAAATTTTGTGTGAATTTGTGCACTTAAAAGCTCGTCAACATCATTCCATATCAACACTCTACATTTTAAAGGTAATTTTCTCTTCATAATTTATAGTACAATTTATATTCATCTATTGAGATGAATTAAAGTTTGGATTAATAAAAGAATTTGTTTCCGCTCCAGAATTCATATTCTAGATATCGAGATTCAATTAAAACTCAATAAAAAGACTAAAAACTAAAATATCGAAATACATCGCGAAGTATTCATAGGAGAAGTTGATTGTAAATTTAAATGCCAATAACAAAAAATAGTATTATCAAATTCTCTTGAAGAAAAAGTAAGAGGGTAAAACCTTTAACGAGAGTAATTTTCTTCTCTACAAAAGATTGACAATTGTCATTTTTAAAATAATTTACCAAATTCTATCATTTTTAAGATTATTTTAATTATACACGAGTATTTTAACCCGTGCAACACACGGGATTGGACGAAATTAAAGTTTTGACACCTCTGTAAATGATCTTCAATGCAATATTTTAAATTGAATTTATGAAAATATATTTAATATGTTTTTTTAGATTAATGCAGAAAGAAGTAGATGAACACAGTCTCATATTTTTGATCAACATAAAAACTTTACAAATCGACCATAACCTTAAAGATTTGACCGTAGCACCTACAATTTCTTCTCTTAAAGCTTTGAGAAAAACTGGAAGAATATGGAAAAAGTCAACTCCGAGTACAACTATTTTCTCCCTGAATGGTTCATTTTTTGGAGTTACTAGCTATTAGAGAACCACATGACATCTCTCATTGCGTATAATCCAATGCCTCCAAATCATATATATTCATCATACATGCTTCATCACATATTAATAGACTTGCTTGTTAGAATAATTCTACTTTGAGGCTTCCTTAGCTTGTTTGGTGGCACACCTTGAGCACTGAGTTAGCGCAAAATGGATTCAGAGTCTTGCGTGTTTTGTCCTTCCACCAGCAATAGCAATATTGCAATGTCACTTGATGCGGCCCAGGTGGCACTAAAAATTTTAATGTCATTCAATAGCTCTAATTAAGACATTTATGGTGCTCCCACTTCTCATTCAATATTTTTTAACATTTATAGTGTTAAAAAATATTTAACACTATATTTTTAACTTTGATACTAATATGTAGTTGTTTTGAAGGTAGGAGGGATCAAGAAAAAGATTTCTACTCAAGAGAATGAGAAATGGAGACAAAGTGAAGAAACTAGTAGCAGCTCTAACACTCGCTTCCAGCTTCGCGCTTGCGATCTCCATTTTCTTGGCATCCAAAATCAATAATAATGATGATGGCAGGAGACGAAGAAAATGTGTCGGAAAGCCTTCATCTTCTCTATGTTATCTCAAAGTAGATGAATCCAAGCCTCAGTCTCTTTTCAAGCTCGTCTTGGCCGACAACTCATATTCTCCCTTCAAACACCTCTCTCTTCATCCCATAACATCTGGTAACCACAACATTTTCTCCTCTCTCATGTTCATAAAAAAGATTACTTTTATCACTTTGTATTCTTCTTGCATTGGTCATCAATTATCAACACATATGTTAGTACTCTTATCCACTTGAAATGGTTTCTACCTTCTAACCTATTTAAATCTCACCCTCAACTTGTCACTGCATCCAATTTACCACTGATAAAAAATGGTCTATAAATGGCTGGGTGGGTGTAGAAACGAGCTAAGGGGTGGGCATTTGGGAGGGTTAGTGATTAGAAACTACTTACTGGTTTAAATTTTAAAAAGGTTTAGACTTAACAAAAAAATAAGATGCATGTTTGTGATAGTGGAATCTGGGGAATTGCATCCGTACATGGAGGAGATTTCTGTGCTGTTGAAAGAGCCAAAAGTGGAAGAGGCTTTGGAGGAATACAATGAGAAACTGGAGGAATTGATAAGGCACAATTCGTGTGGATAAGGGGTTGCAGTTGCAAGAGTTGGCAGAGGTTTTGAGCAAGGAGAGACTATTCGCTGTAGATGTGGAGCATAACAGTTTCAGGTCCTTCTTAGGCTTCACTGCCTTAATTCAGGTTCATAATATATAAATACAATGGGGTTCCCTTGACATTAGAATTTCATGTCATAGGATGATATGACCCCAACTTAGGGGTCTTACGGTGCCTCATTCAAAAAATTGACTGCTCCTACCCTCCGATAAACCTCTCCACCCTGGCTCGATCGAAACTAACCAATACCCCCTTTAATTGCATTCTGTAATTTAGTTGACTTTAGAGTCAATAAAATTAGCTCTAAAGTTATATGGAGAAAATTGAAGGGAGTGGGGGTCGATTTGGGTTGGGTTGAGATTGAGAGGTTTATCAGGGAATCGGATGAAGGGGGTATGAAGTATCAATTTTTTGAATAGAATACAGTAGGGCCCCCAATTAAGGCTCATGTCATATGATGACATATAATTTCAATGTCAATTGAACATTTCCCATATAAATAAATCTATTTTTATACCATATTTTGACAGTTTAGAGACATGCATATATATGACTGTTCATGCAATCGAAGTAATAAGAGTTTGTATGTACCTATCTATGTATTATGAAATACATAGTGTCAAACTTTAAAGTTACACTTGGTTTGATCTATATATTATGGACAAGATGGTATTTCACATTATGTACATGCAATGGCTGTCTATATGACCTAGATAATGATTGTTTGTATATATATGTGAAACATATGGTGTCAAGACTGTAACATGATCCATATATTATAGATAAAGATAGATCTCGTTAGTATATATCCCAACTCCATTTGGATTTTTCATTTTTTACTTAGCTTTTTCTAGTCATTAAACTTTGCTAAAACAAAAAAAGCTCTGTATATTTTTATGAAAAATGGTTATCAATCCTGAATTAATGCTAAAAATAATGACCAAAAAAACAAATGAGAAAAAAAACGTCAGCACATTTTCTACAAAAGTGGTGTGTAAGTTTTTTTATTTTTCACCAAAATAAGTCAACTCAAAATGACACAAAGTTGGAAAATTCTAGCATGAAGAAGGGAGTCTATGCATATGTATGTTCCTAGCTCTGTACATGCAAGTTAAAACTTGCTTGCTTTTTGATGGGTTGAGCAGATATCGACTAAGAAAGAAGATTATCTTGTAGACGCAATAGCTTTGCATGACTTGATGGGCATTCTCCGGCCTGTATTTTCTAATCCACAAATTTGTAAGGTAATTCATTTACTATGTACAAAGCTACAATTCCTACAAAGTGTTTGATATGATGCATCAGATTGTTGAAATGTTGTGTTTTAAGGCCACACTGATATTTGACACTATTTTTTTTTTTTAGATTTTGGTTTTACCTAATTGATTAATGACACTATTGATAATTAAGTTTATTTCATTAATCTAAATTTTTATTTTTATTTCTGCATTAGGTGTTTCATGGTGCAGATAGTGATGTTCTCTGGCTTCAAAAAGATTTCCATATTTACGTCGTTAATTTATTTGACACCGCAAAGGTAAATTTTATCATAATACTCATAAGGTATAACTCCAATTAAAATTTGGAGCTTCATACCAAAGTGTAGTCAATCCTCATATTTTCATATTTGACAAATGTGAGATGACTTAACATTTACCTTTGGAGAAGATATAAAAACATGACATTTTTAGACCTTTGTTATGATTATGAAATTATTGATATATCTTGTTTACGTATTACACTTTTATTAATCATCCATGGACCATGGTTACTAATGCTCCTTGTTGTTTTAGTTAATTTAGATGCTTGTGATTTGATATCAGTGCAGGCATGTCATGTTTTGTCCAAACCGCAAACATCATTGGCATATTTGTTAAAGACGTACTGTGGTGTCGTAACGAATAAAGAATTACGGGTAAGGATGAAGGCCTATTGCCATCCCTCTCTCTCTCTCTCTTTTCATCGCACTATTTAACTATGTTGTTAAGTTTTGGTGCTCTACACGATAAATTTCATATTAAGGAATTTATAACTGAGTGATAGTCAATCAACTCAGTCATAATTGCACTAAATGGTGTGGTAAAACAAGTTTCTCACTATGTGACTTTTTTTTAATGGTAGAGAGAAGATGGGAGGCAACGTCCTCTACCACAAGAGATGGTGAGATATGCTAAAAAAGATTCACACTATTTGTTGTACATTGCGCGTTGTCTCTATGAGGAGCTCAAGCTGCAAGATTTAGGTACGGTCACTTTTGTATTTTTTTCTTCAAATTAAAACCTCTCTACTTTAAAATAAGAGTAAGATTTGTGTACACACACTTTCCTTAGACCACACTGTATTATGGGATACTAGTCATTCAAATGTTTTTGTTGTTGTTGTTGTATATTCTTATTATAATTCTAAATTTTAGACTTCCCATCTAGAAGTTGCTTCATTACTTCAATATTTATGCACATGAAATATACCACGTGTCAATGACAAATTAACTTATGTTCTTGAGGTCACCGGTCGTTCCAATGCAACTTGTTTGCAACTTTTCTCAAAAGTGGTTGAAGCATACCCAGGACACTCTGCTGCTTCATCGATAATTTCTCGTTTTCATAAGGGCCAAGGAAACTACCCTTCTAACCCTACCAATAAAAAGGTTTTCTTATATCATCTCTAAGAAGATTTTCAATTTTTTGGTCGCACTGTTCCCACATTTAGTCCCGACTTTCAATTTTTTGTTAATTTTTGGTGCACGACTATAGATGTTTTGTCAATTTTGGTCCTATTAATTTTTTAGCTGATTTTCGCTAGTTAGGTAATGAAAAGTGGCAATTATTTTATATTCGTGCATGTGGACAAAATGAAATTCTAGGTGCCAAAAGTAGGAATGACTAAATAGTCGTGCAACCAAACATGGAAAATTTTCACTTTTATTAGAGACTCTACCGCTAAGTTATGCATATGATATGACTCGCTCTTTATGTTTTACTCGGCATTTAGTTTCAAGACCTTGTGAAGAGATTGTGTGCTTGGAGAGATATTATGGTGAGTGGACAACTTAAATTCTTTTTTAATCGCCTGTGATTTTCATTATATCTTAGTTGGAGACAGTGAAAAGTTCTCATATCAATCTCACAATAAAATTTGGTGTTATTTCAGGCTCGCGTTCATGACGAAAGCTTAAAATATGTTTTATCAGATCAAGCAATTGTTTCACTATCAAGTAATGCCCCTATAAAAGCTAGAGACATACTTAATGTCATATCTGAAGCTGATGCAGGTGGGGATCAGATAACACTAATCGAATCTCCATCTGCATTGGTTTTGTGTCACTTAGAAGACTTGAACAACTTAATTCAAGATGATGACAATGGGGAAGCTCTTCTTGAAAGTCTTGAAAAATGCTTAGGTGCTAATGGGACTTGTCCTCTCTCTCCATATAACTACGTGTTACTATCAGAAACTAGTTTGGACAAAGCCGATAGATCTCAAGCCAGAAACGAAACCAGGAAAACATCTCTAGCTCGAAAGGTTCTTCAAGAGTTGTTTAACAAAAGTTATCAGCCACAATTTTGCAAATCTCCAGCCTATGACAACTGCAGGATTTACACAAGTGATGGACGGTTTTTATGTTTTTGTGCTCGTAGAAGATTCGATTGGTCAGTACAAATTATAACTCTCATTTATTTTAGACAAATTAATTCAATATTTTTTCTCTTAAATATTGAATGCAAGTAAAACATAATGCAGGTACCTAAAGAGGAATTTGGCAAAACTTGTTAATAAAGACCCGCCTTCCATAATGCTTCTTTTTGAACCCAAACAACGTCCAGAGGATGATGATAACGAATTCAGCAATGAAAATAAGAAAAATGTGTGTGTTGGTTGTGGAAAAGGAGAGCACTATAAACGCTACCGTATCATACCTTTGTGCTACACAAGGCATTTCCCGGAACACTTAAAGAGTTACAGATACCATAATATTGTCCTCCTCTGCACAAGTTGCCATCAAGTTGCTCATGTTGCTGGTGAAAGATATAAGGAAAAGATAGCTACAGATTATGGAATACCACTTCTCACTTGGAAACCTGTTGTGAATTCTTGTGGCCAGGTCAAGATGATCAATCCAAAACTACCTGCATTAGGTTTTGTTTCAGATGACCAAGATCAAGAATCCGAAAAACTATCTGCATTGGGTTCTGGTTTGGATGATCGTATTCAAGAATCTAGGAGTGATTCGGTCCAATCAATGAATGATGCAAATGATTCATCTAAGCAATGCATGGGGCATGGGGCACATGGGAAGCAAGTTGTGGAATTTATACTTAAGGAAAATGGAGATGAGGGGATTCGTGGATTCGTTCAGCGATGGAGAGAGGATTTTGTTGATGCCATTCATCCTCGTTTTTTGCTTGCACGTTGGAATACGAAGTACATATTGGAATCCTCTCTATAACATTTCTGGGAGCTGTGATGAGCAACTTCACTTGTGATGAGTTATTTGGAACATATTGTTTTTAAATATTACATTAATTTTTACGGGGTATGTGAAGATTGAGTTTTAGTGGTAGTAAATTTTCCTCAAAAAAATTTTCATTTATTCCCATGTCGTACTCACAAGGTTTGACATGTATTAAATTTTAGATCAAAACTAGTCAGGCAAAACTTAGTAATTGGTATTAGAAGTTTCCTAAATTTGAAGTTGTTTGTTTGAGTTAAACAGAGTAACATTTTGATTTAATTGATTAAAAAGCAGTATGAATTGATTTCAAGTAGTAGGAATTTTACATATAATACAATTAGTTGGACTATTATTAGTATGTTAGTATTGGTTGACTAAATTATTTTTTCTGATTCATACACAAATAGACATAATAATTTTCTTTTTCTAAAAAAAAAAGACATAATAATTTTCTAAGATTAATTAACAAATTGTGCAGATAAATTAATTAGAACATTACTACAACTACTAGCAACTTAGCATTTTAATTAATTACATTTAATGTTCCAACATAAACAATTATTAATAACTAACTTAGCATTACTACAACTACTAGCAACTTAGCATTTTAATTAATTAGAACATTACTAACTTATCCTATCTCTAGGCGTTATTAATATGTTAGTATTGATTGACTAAATTATTTTTTCTGATTTATACACAAATAGACATAATAATTTTCTAAATATTAATTAACAAATTGTGCAGACAAATTAATTAGAACATTACTACAACTACTAGCAACTTAACATTTTAATTAATTACATTTAATGTTCCAACATAAACAATTTTCCTACTTTTTTACTACCCTACTTCAATTAACATGCCTAAAGTATTTAAACTAACATGGATATAATAAAAAGTTCATAAATTCAACAACAAAACATTTTTATTAAAATATTAAAATTATTACAGAAACTCACAAATTCTAGAAAAGTGGAATTAGATCAAATTTTCTCGTGATAGTCTTTCTCATTTTTGTAAAGGTGCAACATATGTAAATAATTTATAGTTGAATATATCATACGTCTAAATACTTTCATATATTATATGCATGACTTTAAATTACTTTTTTAGGCATCATCAATCTATACGGTCGTAGATATTTGTGAAAGCTATCGTGGAGCAACATTCAACATATATATACCGTCCACGACCATGTGCATGGTTTTCTAGGATGCTGGGAAGCATTGATTGTACACATTAGATATGAGAAAACTGTCCCACGGCTTGGAGAGGGTCACATCAACACAGTGATCATCCAAGTCCAACTTTAATGATGGAAGCGGATACTTCAAATGATCTCTGGATATGACATGCGTTCTTTGGCGTTGCACGGTCGAGTACGCGATGCTTGTGAAATCATTTACATGTTCCGCGTGGAGGATGAGAAAAGAACATATTTCAAGAAGGTACAAGAGGCTGCCAGAAAGGATATTGTAGGAGCATTTAGTGTCCTTAAACAAAAATGGCATATCGTGCGCAACCCATGTCGTATGTGGGAAAAGAGCAAAACTAGATATGTTATGTACGCTTGTACTATTCTTCACAACATGATTTTAGAAGACAAAGGAAAAGCGGTGTGCCAAAATTACGAGGAGGTCGACGTTCCGGAAGTAGAAATTTCAAACGGCGAAAGAGGTCGAGCATGTTTGAAAAATCCGAGATGTCAACGAGTACTTTTTATTTTTCTTTCAAGATGAATAATTGTTTTTTATGTATTGTATTAAAAAAATTCATTGTAATTTCTTTTATGTATTGTAAAAATAGTTTGGTGTCTGTTATAATTTTTTTATGTATTTTATTAAGAAAAATTTCATTGTTTGAATTTATATGTTTACAAAAACTTATCTACAAAATAAATAAAAAACAAAAAAATTGGTCAAGCTCGGTCAAGCCAGCGCCATAACATACATGGGTAAAGCGATTTGTACCCCAATGATCTGTATCCCATTTTATACACCGCAGGGATGCACCAACATTTTGTGTTGGTGTAATGCTAATTTTTGTTAACGCACCAAAACTTTGTGTCAGTGTAAATTTTTGTTAACGCAGTAACACATTGTGTCAATGCGAACCATCACAATGTTGGTATATTTCTTTGGTGTACAGATGGGAAAAAAATTAATTTTAGGTTACATGTAGCTCCAACATACATTCATCCGATGGGGTTTGATGGCCTTCCATCAAAGCCGCATCACAGAATCACAGAGATACGATTCAATTCCCAAAATGGAGAACAATGACAAAGTGAAGCTAGCTCTCAAACTCACAATCGCATCTTGCGTCGCCCTCTCGTTATCCTTCTTCCTCGCATCCAAACTCCAAAATCCTCGCAGGAGGCGAAGCCGTACAATTCCTTCTTCTTCTCCATGCTATCTCAAAGCAGAGGAATCCAAACCTCAGTACGCCTTCAAGCGTGTCTTGGCAGACAACTCCTACTCTCCTTTCAAACACCTCAAACTCCATTCCGCTCCTGGTAAGCACCGCACAATTGTTTTTTGTTTTGTTTTTGTTTTTTTTTTTTGGTCTTCAACAACAAAAAAGATTGTAAAACTTGGAATTTTATGGATGATTTGGCTGTGTTTAACGAAGATTGACTTGTTTGTTAGATGAATGCTTGAGCTTACATCCGTACAAAGCGGAGATTTCGGACCTGTTGAGTGAACCGAATGTGGAGGCTTTGGAGCTATTAAACCAGAATTTGGAGGAATTGGCTGGACGCGATTCTTACATATGGGTGGAGACGGAGTTGCAGTTGCAGGAGCTGGCTGAGATGCTGAGTGGAGAGAGTGTATTTGCTGTAGATACGGAGCAACACAGTTTGAGGTCCTTCTTAGGTTTTACCTGTTTGATCCAGGTTCAAGATTTATGAATTATGTTACTGCCCGAACAAACCAGAGTTGTTAGATCAGATCACTCATTTTTTAAAATTTATGTGCTGTGCCGCTTGTGCTTTGAACAATCTGCTATATAGTATGCATATGTTATTCCTCCAACTATCCGGAAATTAAGTTATCAATTCCTTTTTTGGGACAACCCAAAGTGAAAAGTTATCATTCCTCTTATTCTTCTCTTTAGGAACAAATTGTGTGGTTCATATTATTTTTCTATTCTCTGCATTAATCTCAATCAAACAATTTATTGTAACATTTTTTGAACTCTAGCAGACAGTAACATGATTTTGGGATGGAGGAAGTATGTTACTTTAAATAAACCAAACTAAACAAGCTTAGTATGCCCCAGGGTAGAAAGGCAGCTCTCTTTAGACAAATACGGGAATTTTTGGAAGATGTTTAAATTTTAATATACTTGCAAAATTATGGTGATATGCTACAACAAGTACATGTTTAAGATGTTGCTTTGCATGTGATTAGTAGATATCAACTAAGGAGGAGGACTATCTTCTTGATGTAATAGCCATGCATGACTTCATGGGAATTCTTCATCCTATATTTGCTAATCCAAAGATCTGCAAGGTAATTCATCTATCACATGCCAAGTAACAGAATAATTGATGCACCGGATTGATGAAATGTTGATGTAAGATAGTGTTTTTTTTCTTTTTGTTATGATAATATTGTTATTACTTGTATGCCTTCTCCTTTAGGTATTCCATGGTGCTGATAATGATGTTCTCTGGCTTCAAAGAGATTTTCATATTTACATTGTTAATCTATTTGACACGGCAAAGGTATGGCTTGTTGAAGTTTTTACGTTGGAGTATCTTATATGTGTCTAAGAAATACTAACTTAAGGAAGCATGTGGATGGGTGTGATAGGGGTAGTGTGGAATGATGTTTTGGATGTTTATAATCGTAATTACTAAACCTTGTGTGTGTGTGTGGTGTGTGTGTGTGTGGAGGGGGGGGGGAGTAGATTTCTGTATCTCACTGCTTCTGATTGGGATATTATGTTTCAGGCATGTGATGTTCTGTCTAAACCGCAAAGGTCATTGGCATACTTACTGGAGACATATTGCGGTGTTTCAACTAATAAACAATTGCAGGTGAGGGTCAAATCTTATTGGCTTTTTGCAATAATATATCTTTCCGTAGCATATGATTTTTTTTATTTCTAGGCATGAAATAGTATGTTCCCATTGACTTAAGAGCATGAATTGAGAAGAATGGGGAATACAAATCAGTACCTTTAGTCCGCTCGTGTTTCAGTTCATCCCTACAACCCTAGATCTTATAGACCATTCTAGAATTTAAGAAATACTATGTTATTGATAATTTTGCTTGATTTGGTTTGCAAAGTATGCTTTTTATGCATTACTACGGGTGCATGATCAATTGAACAGTTTTCTCATTTCACTTTCATTGTGGCCGCAGGTTGCTCTAATCTGAAGGATTTTATTCATTAACACAAATTGAGTTTAAATTGCAGAGAGAAGATTGGAGGCAACGTCCTCTGCCAGCAGAAATGGTGCTATATGCTCAAAATGATGCACATTATTTGCTGTATATTGCACACAATCTCTTTAAAGAGCTCAAGATAAAAGATTCAGGTGTGCTAGATTACAGGTTTTTATACATTCATTATTGTCCTTAATGTCTGCTCCTCCGTCTCCCACACATGGCACGCGAGTGATTTCATACAAAGATTTTGTTGATGAAGCATCCTTCATAATGAACTTTGTTACTCTACAAGAGTTTCATAAGATGTCTAATATATACCGCTCGTGACACTCCCCAGACCCTAATGGAGTTGGGATTATATGGGGTTTTGGGTTTGTTGTTGTATATACCGCTTGTGACATTATAAAAATGTTATTTTATATATGTATATCATGTTCCGTGTTTTTTATACCCTAAGCAAGAATGCAAGATAGAGAAAACTAGTGCAATTATTTTAAGCACTTGCAGTAAAACGCATATGAAGCTTACATATGCTGTGCTCGGAGAAAGATCTTTTCAAACAGATATATTTGTGTCCTGGAACTGCTAAACTTCCTTCTACTAATGATACCTATCACCTATGGGCTGCATTTTCTTATTATGACTCACATTGAAACATTATAAGAGTTCACACTCATATAATCACCTCTGGCCACCCCTTAGAAGTCTCAAATCATACTGAAGTTCCTTAAATTTTAAGACTTTGGTATTTTTTGTTGGTTATCAACTTTTCTGTCTTACCTGGTTAAAGGTTGATGAGGTTAAGAGTTTCTTACTCTGCCCCCAGTTATCTGATGTACTACACCACTTGCTAACGTGTGATTTTGATCCATTTTAATTTAACTTGCGTCAACTCCATTAAGTGAGTTTGAGGGTAAATACCACTTTTAACATTGTGAAAAATGAAACCAAACAAAGCGTGCACACACACACTACTTGGTGATTTCAATTTTGATTCTCGAATTCATTGGTATGTGATAGCTTCCTTCCACATAGATGTATTTTTTACTTTGGAAAGTTTGATGTATTATTTTTTGAGGTTGCTTCTTCAATAGCACATCCTAGTATTTGGTTTTGAAGTATTAAATTTGTTTACATAGAACATTCAGGTCTGGATCAAAAAATGACTTGTGTTCTCGAGGCCACCTGCCGTTCAAATACAACTTCTTTGCAACTTTTTTCAAAAGAACTTGAAGCTTTTCCAGGAGAGTCTGCTGCTTCATCAATTACTTCTCGATATCATGACCAAGGAAACCTTCCATCCAGCTCCTTCAATGTAAAGGTTTTTTTTAAGGAGACTTTGTTATGTACTACTCTGTAATGAATAGTGTGGACTGACACCTGCTTTTATTTTCTAAATGGCGGTATTCAGTTTCAGGATCTTGTAAGGCAATTGTGTGCATGGAGAGACATTATGGTGAGTTGACAACTCAAACACAAAATTATATTATTAAAAAAACTTATTTCAAAATAATATCTTATTTTTACATACACTTATATTATATTTTTCAGTCATTTGTTTCTCTATTAAATGATTTTTCAGTATGAAAGGAATCAAACTCTTATTTTAGTCTCACAGTATAATTTGATATCATTTTAGGCTCGTGTGCATGATGAAAGCTTGAGATATGTTTTATCTGAGCAAGCAATTGTTGCATTGGCAGCTAATCCTCCTCCACAAATTTGTGATATTTGTTATACCATATCTGAAGCTGATTCAAGTGGGGATCACATATCGCCATCCCCATCTCCATCATCTCTCGTTTGTAGTCATTTGGAAGATCTCAATCACTTATTCGAAGATGGTATAGGTGAGAGTGATGAAAACCTTCTGCTAATTCTTCAAAAATGCTTAGGAGCTAATGGGAGGTGTCCTCTCTCCATCTATAATTACGCTTTACTATCCAAAACTAGCTTGAAAGTAGCCAATAGATCCATTATCAAGAAAAATGGATTTAAAAGTGCAAAATCCATGGCTCGAAAGACTTCCCGAGAATTGTTTGTCCAAAAATTCTCTTGTAAATCTCCAGTCTACCACAACTGTCGGATTTATGCAAATGATGGTCGGTTATTATGTTACTGTGATCGTAGAAAGCTTGAGTGGTTAGTGGAAATCTTTATTCCTATTTCTTATTCTTCTAGATTATTTTGCATCAATATGCATATTAATGCACAAGTACACCTGAATACTGACAATTATATTTAAACTCGATGTAGGTATTTAAACAGAAGTTTAGCAAAACTTGTTGAAGAGAACCCACCTGCCATAATGCTTCTTTTTGAACCTAAGGGTCGTCCAGAAGATGAAGACAACGACTTCTACATTCAAAGTAAGAAAAACATATGTGTTGGATGTGGTGAGGGTAATCACTATTTACGGTACCGTATTATACCTTCATGCTACAGAATGCACTTTCCAGAACATTTAAAGAGTCACCGGTCTCATGATATTGTACTCCTGTGCGTGGACTGCCACGAAATTGCTCATGCTGCTGCTGAAAGATTCAAGAAAAAGATAGCTGCGGAATATGGGATACCACTTTTTGTCCGAAAAGTTGTTCATTCCAACCAAACTCAAAATCCATCAGTATCATCACCCAATGATAATATAGATGAGGAGGATGGTGTCTCACCTTTACAATTGCGTACGGCAGCAATGGCTTTGCTGCGTCATGGTTCAAGAATGCCATCGAGACGGAAAGATGAACTAAAAGAGGTAAAGTTTTATGTAAATTGGCGTAGCTATTACCATAATATTATTTCTGTAGACTTATAGCTTTTACTATTTGGTCAAGTTATGTTTCTAAGACTTGTTCTTTTTACAGTTTAGATGTCTAGGGATCTTTTGAATGCTCTTACTCTCTTGAAAATTCTGAGTTTCTTGATTTCATATTGTGTACAGTATTCACAGGTTCTCCTTACTGAGAAAATTATTGCTCTCAAAAAAGTGCCATATTTAGCTGTTGAGAAAGAATTCAGTGCTCATTTTCCACAAATCCCCACAATTGTCCTCCATATCATGATATCAATAAAAATGCTTCATAGTTCATTGTATATCTTTAATGCATTGACTCGGGGTATTCAAGTCATATTTATCTCAACTTTAGAGAAATTTTTTTTGAACCAAAATGCACAATCTTAAAGAGAAATTATTTCTTCATACGTGTGTAAAAAACCTTACAACACCACAGTTATATGAGGACAGGTGGAGTACTTGTTATATGTATTGTATTTTTTATCCCATAAAATGATCATTAATGGTCAAAGACATGCATTACTTTCATCTTCATTAATTATAATGCAGATTGTAAGGAGTTACTACGGAGGAAGGGAAATATCCCAAGGAGATCTAGAAAATGCTTTGCTAGTCGGCATGAGTCCGCTTGGACGAAGACGGTTTGTGAAAAAGAAGCTATCTTCTAAACAGCCAACAACATATGTTGCCTCTGACCATAATCAAGAGCCCAGTACTGATGACGCCAAAGCGAAATCTACCACCCATGAGAATGGAACTGGGATGCAGCACAACAAAGGAAATACAAGAAGTATGGATTTTGACAACCAATATTCTGCACATGACAACACATTTGGCCTTAACTGCATTGTTTCTGAAAGTGGGAATATTTATACCGAGTGTGATTCAGTTCAATCTAATAATGATGTGAATGTGCCATCTAAACAACACTCGAAGGTATCGATGTTGGGGCACGGACCACATGGAAAGCAAGTTGTGGAATTTATACTCAATGAGTATGGGGAAGAAGGTGTTTGTGAATTTTGTCAGAGATGGAGGCAAGTTTTCGTTGAAACTGTTCATCCTCGTTTCTTACCTGCTGGCTGGAATGTGACTCACAGGTTAGATATATTTTTTCATTCATTTCTACCCTTAAAACAACATCGTTTGGGATTATTTATCTCTCTAGGTTTTAAATAATCAGAAGATTTATTTCCCCGAAAAAAGGTTCTTTTTTCCTTATGTTAGCTACTTGATCAAACCCTTCTACTTCAAACCAACAAGTTTAGTACTCCGTTCGTCCCAATTGCACTTCACGATGCTTGATTGAAGTTATCTTCAATTCAATTTACTTCAATATCGTTGTAATATTTAAAAGTAAACTTTATATACTACACATCTAAAGTTCTACAAAGTAAAAGATGACTATATTTTTTTATCAAGTGATCAATGAAAATATATAATAAAAGGAGATATAGTTTGATCATTTGAATAGTCATGGTAAAGATTTAGTAATAGAGGGGGTATCTATTATTGATTTGAGTGTGATACACCATTTTAAGATGCTACATGGAATATCTAAATGAAGTACACAGATTTTTAATTTGTTGTGCAATGGTTCTCATGTTGGTTGGGTCTTGTGTCCTTTTTTCCAGTGGTAAAAGAGATTTTGGAGAGTATAGCATTTACAATCCTGAAAAGAGAGATTCTGCTGGTGCTGGGTAGATGATGATGATGATGATAACCAATGCAAGGGTAGAAAAAGATTTGTTTATTTGTTATATTTGTTCAACGTTTATCGACGATTGTTGTATTGTACGAATTATTAGTTTTTGTTTCTGTACATATGATTTTCCGAATCTCAAACGAAAGAGCCTCTCGACAGGCATTTCAGATCTCTTTTTGTATTGTTTTGAGACCGATGCTCGTGCTATATATGTACTGCTTTCATATTTTTTTTAGGAGACATCAAAGGACAGGAAATTCCAGGAACATTAGGATCAAGTAACATTGAATAATGTCTTTAGATGCAGGTTCAAAAGTGAACTCGAATTTTCGTCAAGGAAATTCTGGTGAATATAACCTGGGTTTGTGTTCTCTACGGAGTAGTAAACAAGCTTTCACTGTCAGTTTTTAATGCATTCTCTACAAAAGATTATGTATAAAGCCCCGCCTCAAAGTGTAATAGTTTGTGCGCGCTAAAAAAAAAAGGTACATGCACTTTTGGAACGGGTGTTGGAATAAAACACTAGAGCAACAAAATCTGGGACTTGTGGTCGATGCCGTTGAAGATGAATGTCCCGCGCATTGGAACAAATTGTCTTGTGATTAGCTGTAGTCAAGAATAAAAAAATGCACATCAAATTTTCATAAATTGAAGCAAATCCCAATTTGTTGTAAAGCATCTAAAAATCTCTACCAATATAGTGTTACATGCTTTATTCCTACTTAAGACCATGTGTAGTCAGAGAGCCCCGAGGGGCATTATCTGTCATGAGGTAGCCACCTCAACAAGTGGCTTCATAGCTTAAAAGGGTGTAGTGCATGGAGCACCATAAAGCCCACCAATTATCAAACGTCTATTATTTTAATTTTTTTTATTTCTTTAAAGAAATAGATAAANGGGGGGGGGGGGTGCGCTATACACATAACACCATGTTACACATCTTTTTCCTCATAAAGCCCCCCCGGGGGGCATTGTTTGGGGTTCCAAGGTGGCATTTTGCCAAATATGATACCTAAGCAGGCAATAAGCACTTCTTATGACATTGAAAACATAGTATATGTAACATAAACTCAATCCAAGAGGGGTGAGAGTAACCTTAAATTTCATCATTTAAGAAGTACTTAAACTACCTACGTCTCAAAACTATCTTCCCACTTGCAACTTTGTAGCTGTCCCAAAACCATTTACTCAATTCTTTTTTTTTTAATTTGTACAGGTGAGATGTCATCTCTACCCCTCAACCACCCAACATAAATTATACTCGCATCTTTTTTAAACTAAGAGTTATTTTCCCCTACTAATAACCCTTATAAGCAAATTGCCAAACAACTCGCAAAATCTACCATTTTCATATTGGAAGATCATTTCAAAATGGAGGGAGTATTGCTTAGGCTTGGTAGATAAGTAGAGCTGGCAAATCGGTCGGTCAGGTCGGGTTCGAGTTCGGTTACTTCGAGTTCGGGTTATTTCGGGTTCGGGTCAATTCGGATTCGGGTTGAGAACTGTATGTTCATGACCCAGTGTCATCGGGTTCAGGTCGACCCAACGGGTTATGACTTTGGTTTTTTAAATTTTTTAATTCACATTAAGACTTACGTTTTGTATTAAATAGATTTAAAATATCAAAAAATATGCATTAAATCTATTAGATTATTTTATTTTAATACTTGAAGTAATTTTTGGATATATAAATCAATATAAGGAATTTAAAAAATGCTTATGTTTTACAAAAAAGTAAGATAATTATGCAATATCATTAAAATTTTGTTTAAAAATATAAATTTATACACTAAAAACGAGTAGTAAAGTGTATGATTTTGAAAAACTCTTACTTTAGCGGGTCGGTCAGATCGGGTTCGGGTTCGGTCAGGTTTGACCTATTTTTAGCGGGTCATTTCGGGTTTGGTCAAATTCGGGTTCGGACATCAAAATCTTTGTTCAAAACCCAGTGTTTTCAGATCGGGTTTCGGGTAAAAAACAAGTCGGGTCATTTTTTGCCAGGTCTATAGATAAGCAATGTGTGATACACAACACAACCACAGCCCAACTTAGGCTGGTCAAAAGGGTGAATAAATGTGCCTTAATTGACCTAAATGGGTGTCCCAACCCATTAAACCATAAAGAGGGCAGGCTCCACACAAACGCGGTTGGGTTAGACTAATACCATTTCAACTTAGGCTCCAAAAGAATCCTCAAGGTGTGAGAGTTAACTCACACGAGGCAAAGCAATAAACTGATGTGGATGATAAGCTCAACACTGCAAAACAACAGTCTAGTGTAAAAATGCACAGGCTAACCTTGATCACTTCCTGCGATGCAACTCCTCCAATGAAGGCAGCTACAGCATGGAGCTCGGCGGCACCATACCTGCACATCTCATTAATAAGGTCCTCAGCCAAGGTGGATCCGTTGCAACCCAAGTCATTCAGCAGGCTGATAGCCGTTGTTTTCAACCGAGATATATCCTCATCCATCTCTCTGTCCATGTAAAAGAAAAATCACACTCAACATCAGATTTTACCAGTGTTTTTTCCTCCATTGAACAGCTTACTTCATCATCATTGTGAAATTAAGCATTTACCCATCTAGTTGCCCGGGGAATTTGTTATAATTTGCATAAAAGCGGTCAGCTGCTCGAAGCAAAATATAGAAACTCACAGCAACACTGCACCACACAAAAAAATACTTCATGAACTCAGGTATTTAACCCGGGAACTGCAAAATGTTCCAAGGCTCAAGTACACACTAATTTTTATTTAAAAAGAGCAACACAAGAATCTCTGGAAAATCAATTACAAGTAATATACTATACATCCTGATCGGAAATATGAGAGAAATAGAGAAGAAGAAAATCATTTAAATACAAAAGTAATTGAGAGCTTCCCTATTTAGTTAGAGCTTCAGTAGTGACAATCAACGGAAAGCCATACAGTAATTAGTTCAAGTCCTCCGCACAGAATCTTCCAACTTAGAGAATGAATCAACATTCCGCCGTTCCAGAACAATTTATAGGACAAAAACCTAATTTCTATTATATCTCAGCATGCAAGAAAGCAGAGGCTTGAATTTTTTAAAAGAAAATTTGCATCCCTTATTGAAAATCCACCACTAGAAGGCCAAGGGTTTCAACTTGGACAAACTTACTTTTCTGGAAGGACTTTAATGGGGTTGGCTTCATGTATATTCCTGTTTATCCGTATCAGAAAACAATCAAAACATTATGAAATATTCTAGCTCCGATCATTCTAGAAATCCCTCCCAGAGCATTGCATCAGTACTAGAGACATCAAATGTCATAAAAAGGCTTTTCAAACACTATCTTATGCTATATACTAAAACCAATATGGTATGACTTATGAGCATCTACATATGACATACCTATACTCTTCATCTGTAAGATACTTTTGTAACTCTGGTTGCGCTGGAGAGCTGAACTCCTCCTCAAGGGAGCGATATCTGCAAACCTGAGAAATTACAGAATACATATAAAGCATTAAAAAAATAGCATCTCAGGAAGAGAACCATCACATCTTGAAACATAAAAAACATCGTGCAATAATTGATACTCTCTTTGTCCCCATTTAATACTCTTGGTTTAACTTGGCACATACTTAAGGTAGTTTAAGAAAATTAAAATTATGTTGTGGAGATCTATGTGGAAAAGAATAGATGAATATGGAACACTCAACCACCAAGTTTTTACTTAAGGAATATTATTTAGGGACAATCGAAAAAGGAATGTAGGAAGATATAATGGGACAGGAGTATACATCTGTGATGTCAGATGGAGGTCAGTAAAAATATTTTCTGCTCTAAATGCAGATACAAGGTGCCTTCACAGGAAAAATAAAATGGTCTCAAAATACTAGAACAGAGAAAAATGGTAAGGATAGTTCAGAAAACTCAAATTTGTTCAGGTGAATGAGATCAGCGAATAAACTTCTTTTCAATGGAGAATGTTAATATTGCTCCAGGGACTATCTATTCTCACTGTCTCAGCACATGGATGTGCATCATTGATTGCATGGAAAGAACAGAGGAAGCGGGGTGTAGTATAACTCCATTAGTCAACTTCAATAGTCTAATAAAAGTAAGCATTTACTTAGGAATCATATTACCCGGTGCATATTGTCGCGCACCGAGTCTTGACTCTTAGCCCGTGACAATATGCATGCACATGGCATGAAACATTTACTCACATTGTAAGCTATTGTACAAACATCAAACCTATAGAAAGTGTTTGCTGTTGATAAAATATAGCTGCATATGAAATATACATTCCAGATAATTACTCTCTCTGTCTCTCTAAGATCTTCTCGTTTTAACTTTTTGTGGTTTTTAAGAAGAGTTCAAAAAAGGTAAAAGTTTACCAAAATACCCTTAATGAAAATGGGTGGAGTGTATTAAGTGAGGTGGGTGAGGTGTAATAAATAAAGTGAGGGTAGTTATGATATTTTAAATGTTAAAAAAGGTAATGAGAAGTTCTATGGAGGACAAATATAAAGGGCTAATGGGAAGATCCATGGGAGACCGGGGGAGTATAAGCTAAGGTCAATACTAAAAATAACTGTAAATTTTTAATTTTTTAGAGTTTTGGACATGATGGAACGAAACAACTAAATATATCTTAGGTGTCACATGTCACTCTTAGAAGCTCTTATGCTCATGAGCTCTTCCATAGGTTTGTATGTGTTTGTTTGTCTCTTTACCTTATCATAATAGGTCATACAAGTGAATATTGTGTAGTTCTCTCTCATTCTATACAAATATTGACAAGATGGCAACAATAGGATGCCAACAATGGATGTGATCTAAAGTCTAAACAGCTTACTTCAAGCTTTCTTGCATTTTTACAAAAGCTCTTTATGGTTGCCTTTGATATGCTACTTGGATCTCTACCAATTCTCTGGAGTATATCCCTCTCGCGTTGCTCCACAGCAAGAAAATCAGCCTCAGCTTTGGCATGGTATATTTTTTGCAGGTTGACATATAGCCTGTAGATAGGTAAAAGAATATGCTAGAGGACATTCACAAAAGGTATGCAACATATCCAAAAATGAGTATTACTCACTCAGTGGAAGAGGTCATATCAGGTATTGATCCCTCTAGAGGTGCCTCTCCATTACCTTCATTAGCTATAAACTCCTAACACATACTCAGAAAGATTATATAATGTTTTATACAACCATTTTAATATTTTATACTCGTAGAACCAGCAGCTAAATTCATCAAACAGACTAAAAATTTTCAAAATATTCATGCATACATGTATTTATGATTCACGCAATAGGCAAGAGGAACACACAAATTCTTTAAACGCTTACACTATGTTTGGTTCAAGGAATAAGGAAGGAAAGGAAAAGAAAATGATTTCTTTCCTTTTCCTCACCAAAATGGACGGAATCATGTTTTCCCTCTTCTTAACGTATTTAGCCATAATTTTGAAAGGTGATCGCCTCCCTCTCCTAAGGCGCCTCAGGTGTCCGGGCGACCTTCTACCGAGGCATTGTCCACCTTTCTCGCCTAAGTCGCTCGCTTCTCTCACCTCAATCGTCACCTCAGGCATTCACTTTTCTCGCCTTATTGTAGTTATGCTATGGGCCTTTTAAATAATGGGCTGGCAATTTTTTTGAGGAAAGGGCTAGGCATCTTAAATGTGACTCATTTACACCCTAGCACAACTAGGCCTACCAGAATAAGGTCAATCAACACAACAACACTACCTCATCTCCTCTGGTTCCATCGGCAACTCAGGTCTCGTCTCCTCTTTCTCTCTCTGGTCTTGTCTCCTCTCTCTCTCTCTCTCTCTCTCTCTCTTTGATATCTCTTGTCTGCTTTCTCTCTCTCTACTCTCTGTTTTGTTTTGCAGTTCTTTTGCTGCCTACATTTTACCATATTTTTATGCTTCATAGGTTTAGCTTACTTCCCTAGTGGGGAGAGGAGAGCGATGATGA